ACCACTGCGCCACCAGGGAGATCCCATTTCTGTTTACTTTAAATGCTACTAGAAATGATATTTTCTGTATCATACTGAATTTCCATAGGCCCTTAGACTCTCATTCATCTTCTTTATTTCATTTCCACATATCTTAAGTTCCTTGGATCAGTTTTTCTTTGGGTTTATTCTTGTTTATCCAAACATGTACTTTCGGGGCTTGCACCTCAGTCAAAATTTTCTTCTTTGTACATTTCAGTTCTAGCCACTTCAATAGCGTATGTCAGAGAATTTAATACCTTCTGGCATACCTCTGTGTGCCTTCCTGCTTTGTACTCCAAATCCAATCTTCTAGTTGCATCTGCAAATGAATTTTCCCATGGGAGCATTTTCACTGTGATCTTTGTGTTTCCTTGATGTAATTTTCTTGGAAAACATATGGACTTTTATGTATACTTTACACCAGTGATTCTTAAACCAAATCAGGTTGTAAAGGTCCATGGAAATCAAGAAGTGGAAGAACATGAGTTCTGATTTACTTCAAATCTATAAACAAGGCATAATTTTATCATCAGAAAATGAGTATTATATCACTGCAGATTTCTGCATTCCAACATAAAAGGAAAACTGCATGTAATTTGTAAGAAATCACATATCCACTCTTTCAGTTGACCTTTGATTGCTTCTTGCACATTTCTATTTGTCATCTCTTACATGAGCTGGAGGACAAGAATGGGCAATAAATCTCGAAGGCACAGGACTTCCCTGGTGGTCCAGTGGGTAAGACTCTGAGCTCCCAGTGCAGGGGGCCCAGGTTCCATCCCTGGTCAGGGAACTAGATCCCGCTTGTGTGGCACAACTAAGAGTCTGCATGCCGCAACTATGTTGCAACAGGATCCCACGTGCTGCAACTAAGACCCGATGCAGCCAAAATAAATAAATAAACTAATTAAATATTTTTAAAAATCTTGAAGGCGTGTTTATAGGAGGAAAACTGAAAATTAAGATGATTCTTTACACTTACTGAATTTTTTCTAATTAGGAAAAGCCCACCAATATTCTGTTTTAGTAGTGGAGCAGCTTGAGAGCACCAGTGTTCCAGAGGAGCACCTAGCAATCTGGTATGCGGTAATCTGACCATTTGACTAAGAATACTGCATTTACCAACTCAGAGATGATACTTTGTTTTCAGTCATAAGGAGTCAGTATAGTTCCCATGATCCCCCATTAAATGAGCAAAGTACTTATATTGGGTTGGCCAAGAATTCGTTCAGGTTTTTCCGTAACATGTTACAGGAGAACCCGAACGAACTTTTTGGCCAGCCCAATAAAAATGTAGTATTTATAATGAATAAGTAAAGTGCATATAGCAGTGCCTGGCACATAGTAAGAGCTATGTAACAGTAAGTTTTATTATTAAATTATTGTTGTTACCTGGGTTTCCTTTGGCACTTGGTAATATAATGTGACTGGAACCTCTTCTGGTGCCTTCACCAGGTCCATCTTCTAACTTACTCTAGTTTTTGTTGTTGTCCTTGATTTTTGTTTGTTTCTTTTTGTTTGTTTGTTTGGCTGTGGCATGAGGGATCTTAGTCCCCCGACCAGGGATCGAATCTGTGCCCCTTGCAGTGGGAGCGTGGAGTCCTAACCACTAACCCACCAGTGAATTCCCTCTACTGACTCTAAAATAGGGGCTTGGGACTTCCCTGGTGGTGCAGTGGTTAAGAATCCGCCTGCCAATGCAGGGGACACGGGTTCGATCCCTGGTCCAGGAAGATCCCACAGGCCGCGGAGCAACTAAGCCCGTGTGCCACAACTACTGAGCCTGTGAGCCACAACTACTGAAGCCTGTGAGCCTAGAGCCCATGTTCCACAAGAAGAGAAGCCACCGCAGTGAGAAGCCCTTGCACCACCAAGAGTAGCCCCCGCTCTCCGCAGCTAGAGAAAGCCCGCGCGCAGCAACGAAGACCCAACGCTGCCAAAAAAAAAAGGGGGGGCTCACCTAATACCACATCTTTGGCCTCTGTGGTTCTCCTCTCTAGATATAGAGATGGAGATAGGGATATAGTCTTCCCCTCAGATTTCACGTATTCTCTTGACATGTGAGAAGTAGATGGAGGAGCTGGAGATGGTTAACCTGTAAGAGAGAAGAGTACATGGAGCATTTTCATAGGGCTGTTGGGAGGCTGAGGCAGTGGCCAGTCTCTGGATCAATGATTCTTCAATCCTCTGTAGTGACAGACTGCTTTGTACCTCTGATGCAAGCCCTTCCCCAAAAAAATGATTGAGCGTTTGCAGAGGCATCATAGACCTCCAGAAACCCATCCGTGGATGGGAAGGCTTCCTGCCTTGGTCTGGAGGGCAAAACGAGGACCAGGGAGTGGACGATGTTGAATGGGCAGGGAAAGAAGTCCTGGTTCAATATAAGGATGCTCTTTCTAACAGAGTGGTAGTTCTCCAACTTTGCAGGATTTTACAATCATCTAGGGTGATTTTAAAAATTTTGATGGCCAGGCTGTGCCCAGACCGACAAGAATCAGAATTTCTGCGGGTATAGTCTGGGCATTTTTACTTTTTATAAAGTTCCCCAGATGATTCCAAGGTGCAGCCATGATCAAGAATCAGTAAATTAGAGTACTTTGCCATTGGAACAGTCTCTTTAGATAGTGAGCACCTTGTCAGTGGAGATATTTCAAGCACAGAACATTTTTCTTATTGATTTGAACATTCTAACTATACTTAATCTCTCCTAAACAGTATCTATTTCTTTGCTCTATTAACCTCAAGTTCAAATTTATTTTATTATTTAAGAAATGACTTTGCTTTTGATTCTCTGCTTTTTTTCTTTCCAGTTGTACACCTGTTAAGTCTATGGGTTCTGTGGTATTTGCATTTGTAATTCAAAATTACAATGGTATGAGTGTACTTATAGGAGCTTCTTTGGCCTGAGCAGCAACTGAAGTGAAATTTCACAATATGAAAGGCCCAGGCTGGTTTGCACAATCTGTCTGGTCCTTAATCATACTTCTGTTTGGAAACAGGATAGCGCTTCTAGTTTTCAGTCACTTGTAATATCATTTCTTTCCCTTTCAGCTTTCATTCATTTCCTCTGATGTCATATTGGAAAAGATTAGGATGCCCAAAGATATTTGACCTTCCATAGATAAATGGAACTTTATTAGCATCAAAATGCCATTTTTAAGCCTATGTGAAAAAGCCAAAATGGTAATTAAACAGATATTGTTATAAGAAGTTGCTGATCTCTACCTAGCCAGAAAGTGAAAATGTACGCTTCTGGCAGGGGTCACTTTGGGGTGAGAGAGCAAGGCGTGTGGTCCCCAGTGGCCTCTGTCTCATTACAAGCAAAGTTTTCCTCAGGAAGGCCGTGGCCATTCATTAGTAGCCATTGTGCTGATGTAATATTGGTGGTCATTGCCTGGGCATTAGAGTCCATCCACACAGCTTGCGGGGTCCCCAGGAGGAACCCATCTGTGGGACTGTATTACAATCATGCTGGCTTTATAGATGAGCAAACAGACCTGGAAAAGTAACTCGCCCAACAAAACAGACAGCTAGGACATAGGATTGGAACCCTGGCTGATTGGAACCCGAGTCTGTGCTCTCCTGATAAGGATTATTACTTTCCTAACACTTTGGCTGGCTTATGAATGCCAAGTCCTATTTTTCAAGCTGGAAAAACCTCAGCTAAAGATAGACAGTATCATCATCACCACCACCTACCACCACCACAGCCACCGACACCATCGTCACCACCACCTACTCTATCAGTTCGCTAGGACTGCCACCACGAAGCACCAGAGACAGCAGAAGTTTACTGTCTCAGTTCTAGAGACTTGGAGTCCAAAGTCAAGGTGTTGGCAGGGTTCGTTCCTTCTTTTTTTTTTCTGGGTTGTCTTTTCACTTTTTTTGTTTGTTTGTTTTGACCACGCTGTGCAGCATGTGGGATCTTAGTTCCCTGACCTGGGATTGAACCTGTGTCCCCTGCGTTGGGAGTGCAGTCTTAACCACTGGACCGCGAGGGAAGTCCCTCACTTTTTTTTTGTTATATCGAAGTATAATTGATTTACAGTGTTGTGTTACTTTCAGGTGTACAGCAAAGTGATTCAGTTATATATATATATTATAGATATAAAATATAATTATATCTATAATATATATACTCTTTTTCAGAAAGAATATATATATTCTTTTTCAGATTCTTTTCCCTTATAGGTTATTATAAAATATTGAGTATAGTTCCCTGTGCTATAGAGTAGGTCCTTGCTGGTTATCTGTTTTACACATGGCAGTGTGTATATGTTAATCCCAGACTCCTAATTTATCCCTCCCCCTGGGTTGGTACCTTCTGAGGCTGTGAGGGAGGGATGTGTTCCAGGCCTCTCTCCTTGACTTGTTGATGACCGTCTCGTCCCTGGGTCTCCTCACATTGCCTTCCCTCTAAGCATGTCTGTGTCCAGAGTTCCCCTCTCTATGTGGACACCTTCATATAGGGTGGATGAGGGTGAACCAATTGACTTAGCTTTGACCACATTCTCCACCAGCTTCCTCAGAAGCCAAAGGATCCCCAAGCCGACATCCAGGCTGTTCGGATAGGACAGAGGAGGTGGCTGGGATGCATCAGTCACACATAGCACGATGGTTCTCTTCATATTAGCACAGTATCATTTGGATGTTTTGGGAGTGGAGGGTAGGGATGCTTAACCCTACATTCCTACTCTGTAGGGGCACTTGGTACCCCATCACGAGAGATAGAGTCTGTGGTAACATCTTTCTACCTTCTTTTCTTCACTTCCAACTTTGGTCTTTAAATCCATCAGTCTTTAAAATTAGCCTTATTTTTTACAATGTCAATAGCTGGCAAAGGATGATTTTGTAATATTTCTTCTGTCTATTCCTGAACATATCTTGAAGATATTTCGCCTGAGTTGTTGAATTGCTTTTAAAACAAAAAACAAAAAACAATACTAAATGCTAAGTTCAATTTGCATTTCAAACCACAGGAAGAAGATGTTAAAGACTTTAAGCAACCATCACAGTAATGGATCTCAGTCTGAAAAACGAGACTGAATTAGAAAATAGTGAAAATAATGAAATTCAAAGCACAGAAGAAACTGAACTAATCTATACTTGTCCAGATGAAAGAAGTGAAAAGAATCACGTTTGTTGTCTTCTCAATATCAGTGACATTACACTTGAACAAGATGAAGAAGCCAAAGAGTTTGTCATTGGAACTGGATGGGAAGAAGCAGTGAGTATTTTCTTGAGTTAGGTCTCTTGCATGTCAGTGTTTTGACACAAGCCTTTTCTTTTACTATTTTCAAAAATAGTTACTATTGCCAAAAAAAAAAAAAAGTGTAAGTGATGAAATATAGAAAGCTTTTGGAACAGAGGTAGAATGTTAATGATGATAATAGCTGTACCTTTTATTGAGTATTTATGGCCACTCACTATTGGCAAGCACAGTACTGAATGCTTTATGTACATCAATTCATTCACCTTCTCAATAGTTCTGTGAGGCAGGTATTATGTGAGGCATAATATTATGTGAGACAGCCTCTAGGACTCCAGAACCCAAGCTACTTAACTTAACCCAAGCTACTTAATTAATCCCCCAAGAGACCTGAGATTTTTATCCTGGTGGTTCTACTCAGAACACTGTGGGTTTATTCTTAAACTATTCTTAGAATCAGTAATAGAAATACACTTCTAAATTTAGAACTGTAAGGGAATTTGGTCTAATCCAGTGATTCTCACTTGCTAGTGTCACAACTGGTGGGGAGGGAGAGGGGATGCTACTGGATGTAGTGGGTAGAGGCCAGGGGTGCTTACAATGCCCAGGGTGGCTCCCACCGCAATAAATGGTCCAGCCTTGGGACTTCCCTTGCGGTCTAGTGGTTAAGACTCTGTCCTTCTATTGCAGGGGGTACATGTTCGATCCCTGGTGGGGGAACTAAGATCCCACATGCCACGAAGCCAAAAAAAAAAGAAAAAAGGAATGATCCAGTCTTGTCTTAGCTTGGGCTGCTGTAATAGAATACCATAGACTGGGTAGCTTAAGCAACAGACATTTATTTCTCAGTCCGAGGTCAGGGTCCCAGCATGGTTGGGTTCTTGGTGAGAGCCCTGTTTCATTTTATTTTATTATTTTTTGGCTGTGCCATGCAGCATGTGGGATGCAGAATCTTTAGTTCCCCAACCAGGGATCAAGCCCTTGCCCCCTGCAGTGGAAGTGTGGAGTCTTAACCACTGGACCGCCAGGAAGTCCCCTCCTTTTCTTATAAGGGCACTAATCCCATCATGAGGGCCCTGCCATCTTGACCTCATCTAACCCTAACACCTCCCAAACACCCACCTCCAAATACCATCACACTGGGGATTAGGGTTTCAACATAGGAATTTGCCGGGGGAGGGTACACAAACATGCAACCCATAAAAAGCCCCCAATGTTGGTAGTGCCAATGTTGAGAAACCTTGATCTAATTGGTTTATTTTATAAATATGGAAACTGAGGCCAAAATAAGGCAGAGTGACTCTACCCAAGTCCACTTGACAGTTGCAAGAATGTGTCTCCGGAGCCTCCTCTGGTGCTCTCTCTACTGTACGCCGCCCCCCGCCACCTCGTTAAGCGTATATGACCTATGACCTTCCATACACACACCCCCAGATCAGGTAAGTCAAGGTGGTAGAGAGTTCTATTTAAGCCTGGAAAACTTTCTAAGCTTAGAAGTTAGAAGGTTCAGTTTACTATTCAAGGTAATTACTTTGAAATATACATCCAAGGGCTGTTGGCAAAGAATTTTCTTTTAATTGGAAGAGTTGCCCCGTGCCCCATGCTGAGAGTACGTTTGCTGTTCACACTCTGTCTGGTATGACCATTTCCTCCTGCCTGCTGCCTGCTACTCTTTGCTCTCTCTGTCCAGCCCCCGACCCCTGCCCACCCAGCCCTACCCCACCTCTCAGACAGCCTTGCCTCAGGAGGGTTGACTGAGGTCTGTCCCCGCCCCCTGCAAAGGCTGGCTTCCTGCACTGGCTCATGGCCCCCTGACCCTTTCTGTGCTGGTGCCAGGGACCCCTGGGCCAGCATTTAGAGGAGGACAGAGAACACCTTGCTGGTAGCAATTCGTGAGAGTTTCTTATGCTTGCAGAGCCAAGGGATCTCACAGGAGGCAGGTGATGGGATGCCTCAGGGCTGCACAATGTTGACTCAGGCTGACCCAGTGCAGGAGCCTTTCCTATCACTACCCTGCTGTTTCTCCCCGTGGCAGCCTGTGGACGCCCACACCACTTGGGGGCTCTGTGGACACTCAGTCAGGAGGGAGGCACAGTCACCTTGCACTGCAGCTGGGCTCGAAGTCCTGGCAGACATCCAGACCTTTTTGGAAACACCTAGCTTACCTGTGACACCTCACCTGTAAGGACCAAAAAGGCAAGGTGTCATTGCCCCCTGCCCTGGGACTTGGATCCCCTGCCCGGCCATCTGAACACCCTGGAGATGTAGATCCTCTGTATCAGCCTCGACCCAAGGGGTGCCTTTTTTCTTTTGGCTGTGCCTTGCAGCTTGCTGGATCTTGGTTTCTGGACCAGGGATTGAACCCGGGGCCTCTGCAGTGAAAGTGCCAAGTCCTAACCACTGAACTGCCAGGGAACTCCCGTGTGGGGTGCTTTCTATTTTATTTATTTTTTAAAAAAAGATATATTTATTTTATTTTTTAATTAATTTATTTTTGGCTGTGTTGGGTCTTCGTTGCTGCATGCGGGCTTTCTCTAGTTGTGGCGAGCGGGGGCTACTCTTCACTGCGCGCTTCTCACTGCGGTGGCTTCTCTTGTTGCGCAGCATATCCTCTAGGCACGTGGACTTCAGTAGTTGTGGCACGCAGGCTCAGTAGTTGTGGCGCATGGGCTTAGCTGCTTGGCGGCACGTGGGATCTTCCCAGATGGGGGATCAAACCCATGTCCCGTGCATTGGTAGGAGGATTCTTAACCAGTGCACCACCTGGGAAGTCCCTGGGGTGCTTTTTAAAATCTACCTTCCCAGGAATTCCCTGACCCTTCCCAAGCCCCTCCGCTGAGTACTGGCTTAGTAGGTTGGGGTGGGCCTCGGGAATCTGGATTTTGAAAAGCAGCTCAGGTGACTCTTAGGGTCAGGCAACTGGGGAGCCTTCGCTGACTCAGTTGGACCTGTTTAATAGATTCAGAAAGACAAAAGCTCAGAGGTTGCTCCACATTTTAGGCTCCCCTCACTCAACATCCCATTAAGCCAGAGTTGGCCTTTTCCACACACACAGCCTGGAGACAAATCCCCTTGCCAGGGCGGAGGTGGGGACCAAGCGACTTGCCTCACTCTACCAAAGCTACCATCTGGAGAGAGGCTGTCAGCCTGAGGACCTATTCGTAAATGGGCTGGGACCCTTGCTTTTCTGTAAAAGCTGGAAAACCACCTGGGGAGCCAGGGTCGAGAGCAGTGAGGTGTGAGGCAAGCAGCATGGTCCTCTTGAAGATGCAGTGCCGACCCTGCAGCACATGAAGGGACGGGGTTCCCTGAACAGAGGCAGAGGGAGGGGGAAGCTGGGGAAGATGTGCTCAGGCTGACTCAGCGTGCAGTGCTGGGCAGCAGCCTTGTAGCCGTCCAAGAACTGGGACTTCACTATGCTAAAGAAAATCGTTTTTTTTTTTTTATGAGAACATATTCAAGGCTTCAGCAGCACGTCTTTGGGAAGAGCTAGGTCTGTGGAATAAGAAAGTATCGGACTCCAATAGCACTTACTAGACTTTTTAAAAAAGTGATGCTGCAGGCTTCCCTGGTGGCCCAGTGGTTAAGAATCCGCCTGCCAATGCAGGGGACACAGGTTCGAGCCCTGATCCGGGAAGATCCCGCCTGCCACGGAGCAACTAAGCCTGTGCGCCACAACTACTGAGCCTGTGCTCTAGACCCTATGAGCCACAACTACTGAGCCCTCGTGCCACAACTACTTAAGCCTGAGTGCCTAGAGCCCGTGCTCCGCAACAAGAGAATCCATTGCAATGAGAAACCCACCCACCGCAATGAAGTGTAGCCCCTGCTCGCTGCAACTAAAGAAAGCCCGCGCAGCAAAGAAGACCCAACGCAGCCATAAATAAATAAATAAAAAGTTCCCTTTAAAAAATAAAAAAAATCTAAAAAGGGGTTTTTCTTGACGCTTACAAATTTCTAACAGGAATTTGGGGAGCTGAACACGTGAGGTGAGAGGGTGTGGAGCGTGAAAAGGGGATGATGGGAAAGGGATGTTTTTGTGCAGGAGGACCAGAGGCTGGCCCCATCTTCAGGCCCAGGAGACAATGCTGCTCCTCACAGGCTCTCCTTGTCCTCTGCTTGGGGACGCATAGACCTCCTGAATGTGCCAGCACTTGTTGGCTGTAAGGATATTTTGAGCCTCAATTTCCTCCTCTGTAACCTGGATATCAGAATACCTAAACTGTAGCACTCCTGTGAGGAGTAAATGAACGAATGCCAAGAGATCCTCAGCTCAGTGCCTGGAACATAGTAAAATCGTGGGAGCTATTTTTGCTTTCTTTTTTTTTTAACATATAAGGTTGCCAGATTTAGCAAATGAAAACACAAGGCACCCAGTTGAACTTGGCTTTCGGTAAACCTAATTAGTGTAAGTATATCCCGAATGTGGTCTTGTGTTTTTATCTAACAGGTCTGTTTACCTGTGACCTCTGTGGCAGGGTCAGCCAGGGGACTCCGGGTGTGGCCGCGGGCATCGGTGTGCCTGGGCCCTGCTGACCCTGCGTCTGCCTCTGCTCCTCTGCCTTTCCTTCAGCCTCTCCGAGCAGCAGTCTCCCGGGTGTGGTAAACAGACCCTGCAGTACAAGAAAGGCTGGCAGAGAGGACAAGAACAAACAGTTTGATTTTATTTTAATAATTCTGAATTTACTTTAACGCACATCTAAAAAAATGTAGAGTCAGCACATCAATGTGGCCATTTATAGATACTATCGCTTAGTATTTTCATCTTTAAAAATACTGTTACAAATACTATTGCTTAGTATGAGGCTAAACTAGGCATGACAAGTTAAAACTAAAACATTTAAGTCAATTTTTAGAGAAATATTGATTTAAATAGGACAGCCAAACTGGGAATGGGGCCAAAGTAGGGGCAACTGGAGTCTAGGCAGCTCAGCTGAGAGTAACACGCTGTTTTATTTGCAGGTCCGAGGCTGGGGAAGGATTTCTCCAACTGCCTGCATCTGGCCCAGGAAGAAGCTTAAAAAGGCGAAGATGGGAGAAAGTGCCAGCAGCTGCTTGCTCTGTGTCAGCCTCTCCCAAGGGAGCCTGGAGGCCAGGCTTCAGTCGGAGGCCAGGAAGTTGGTGTCGGGGACTTCAGCTCCGGCTAAGGCAGGGCCGGAGAAGGATGGAGGCAGCCTCTCCCAGACTCCGGGCCCCCCGCCAGGCCCCAACACTGCCTACCGGGAAGTTAACAGGATCTGCTTTCCCACTTACAGTCAGGGAGAGAAAAAAAGTCTGCAAATAAAAGAGTTTATTTGGTGCCTGGAAGACTGGGCCACTCCCAAGGCTGTGAGGGGCAACGACCCCGGAAGCCCCGGCGGAGGCGCTGACGGAAGTGCCTCCGTGGCAAACTCCTTGACTTCCAAGGCCCTTTTAGTTCTACCTGCCCTGAAGTCTTCACTCCCAAATGGCTTGGATGTGCCAGGTAAGAAGAGTCAGAACTTTTTCTTACAGCAGGAAGAGAAGGGGCCGAGCGTGGCGAAGGATGAGCAAGTGGCTTGTGCATATGGGGTGAAAACAGTTGACGGGACAGGTGAAAAGAGGCCCATTGAGCTGGCCAAGCACCACAAGGTGAAGGAAACGCAGCCTTTCCCCACCCCGGTGGCCCGGACATCCCTGCTGGCCGGTCCCGAGCCCTGCTGCCTGCCCTGGTCCCTCCTGCCTGAAAAACACCTGGTGTGCCCTCCCCACCACAACAGTGTTCGCTATCTCGCCACCCTGCAGCTTGTGCAGAAACAAGGAGCGCAGACCTACAAAGCCAAATTCAAAGCCAGGGAGCCGAGACCTCCCGTGAAAACCCCACAGTGCGTTCTCACAGCGGCCAAGCCGGAAAACAGGCCGCAAACGCTGGAGACCAAAGTGTTCTCAAGGCCTCTCTTGCCGTCCCTCACGGTGAGCAGAGTTGTTATGGCCGTTCCCACTCACAGACTCCTCTGAGTTGCCATGATGTAATTCCCTGGGAATAAGCACCGTCTGAAAGTTGTTCATCTTCTCTTCCCTCTCTCCCTCCTGCCCCAACCCCAGTCTCTTCCTCCTCCTCCTCCTTGTCTTCTCGTACACTTTTCTCTCCCCCTCTCCCCTGGTGCTTTTTTGTAGTATAATCAGGGCAAATTGAACCTCATTGTATGGGTTTTGATGTGCTCTCAAAGCCCCGATATTTATGTGTTACCTGCTTCTATTGCTTAGCCGTTTACAAAACGCAAACTGGTAATGCCAGTCTCAGCCTCTGCCTGACTTATCTCTGCACTGGAAGACAAGTGGATGGTGGGGAATCTGAAGGGCCTCCCTCAGGGATGCCCCCATACCAGCCCTGAGCCAACCTGCAGGGGCTCCTGCCCCCTCAACCCCAGTGCCTTAAGCCAAGCGTACTGGGCGTGTGTAGACCATATCGTTTCTTGATCTTTTGAACCCGGCAGATGTCCGTCTGTTGCCGCATTTTCTCTTGCAACAAAGATCTGCTTTAATAGAAACAATGTTATAAGAGAAAAATTCCAGCCTGTGTCCAAATGAATATCCTCTATCCAAGGTGGTGTATCCTTATATTATATCCATGGATGTACGGCATCCCTTGTTTCCTATATGCCCCAGATTTCATATATTATAGCCTCATGCTTGTCGCACATTTCATATATTTCATATATTATAGCCTCATGCTAGTCTCTGTGTCTGGGAAGTTTTTCTTACCATTCTACAAAATTCATCTTGGGAGGCAGGTTAAGAATTTTTTTTTTTAAATGTCGCTGTGATTATTTTCAGCACACATGCTTCCTCCAGTCTTACCTTATAACTACTATTGGAACTCGACAACCCCAGACAGACAAGTATGGAATGGGGCTGTGACTTTCTTCCTTCTTCCATCTTTCCTCTCCCCTCATTTTACCCGAGTGCGTATCTCCTGAAGTTGTATATAAATTAAACTTTTGTAAATGAGTTATATTTTAAATGTGAAGTGACAATGCTATGTAGAGAAATGCTCTGAAGAACCATTTTGTAATATGCATAACCATTTAGCCGCTCTGTAATTACATAGTTGGCATGTGCTTAAGGTAGGTTGTACTTGAACTCTAGGCTTTCCGTCTCCAAAATGATGGGCAGACAGAATATATGACTGTATGTGTAAACATCTGCTTTCCATAACTGGTTTTTGTGATGTCTTGTCTGTTTAAGTTTAGGTTTTTTGGTTTTGTTTTGTTGGTTTGTCTTTACAGGAGTGACTATAGTACAACCGTCACTGAAAGGCGTATTTTGCCTTTTGATGTCATACACTTTATAGTCTAGAAGCAGTTAACAGGTTCTACTCATTCTTTCTTCTCTGAATGAAGAAACCATCTGGATTCATCCCCAAGAAGAGGCCCTGATTTCTCACTGTGTCTGGACAGTGGGGGTCTTGGACCCAGTACTGTTTGAGCACCCTCCAGCTCTGGCAGCCTGCCCACCTAAGTCAGTTGTTTTTCAAGCCCCTCTTTATAAGTTGCAGAATAATGAATAAGCTCACTATGTAAAGCAGTCATAAGTGTTTGATTGGGAGGGAAAAAGTATCCACCAGTATGAGGGACAAAGCCCACCTGCTCAGCCCAGATGTACTTACCTGTTGAGATCTTGAGGCAGTCTAAACTGATCCAAGTTACAACATAATGTTTTTCTTTCTTAAGAAAAACTCAGTTGTTGAGATAAGGGTTATAAATTCTATAGCTTTAGGGGTAAACATATAATAATTTAGAATTGAGGAGAGCCAGTTTGAACAAAGGAAGGGCCAAATTTACAGGTTTGTAGTATCTTTTTGGAGCAAATAATTTGGTCAACAAAATGTTGACTAGAAGATCCCTCTGTGAATAGATAAGAATGCTTTGCATTTGGCATCTTTTTCTTTAGGTAATTATTCAAGTACCTGTTAAAGGCCCTCTGATATCTTATCTGTGTTAGCCGTGGTTTAAATTGTTTCTCTGTGGATAGTCACTCTAGGCCTTGTCCCAATTTCTATTCAGATTAAATCAGGACATCCAAACTGGTCTTTGATGTCCAAGTTTAGATAAAGGCTAAATGTTTACTAGAATGCAGCCCCCCTTAGGGTTCTAGGTCACTAACAAAAATCCTGCCATTTTAAGGAGTTAAGCATGTTATAATTCAGTGCCAGTGGCCCTCTTCCTACCTCCAGGTGATGATCTCAGTTAGATTTTGGTTCCTCTAGTCCTCCCCAAACCAAGCATGGAGGGCTCTGTGTTTCACCCCTCATTCTGTTATGTTTGGCTGTCTCATTAGTAAAGCTTTCCAAACCCCTATTCTTTTTTGAAATTAAAAAAATCACCGAGTGGAACTGTGGCAGCACCCGACAGAGGGCTCCTGCAGGGCCTGAGGTCAACTACTGGGTGAGGCCAGGCTGAGGTGTGGGGATGCTCCTGGGCAAGGGCAGGGCCGTAGGGGCTGGAAACCTCGGAAAGACAGAGTATAGATCTGACAGAGAGACGAGGGACAAGGCCAAAGGGAAGACTAAGAATAAGACCCGGCGACATTTGGACAAGTATGTAGGGCTTTGGCTACTCAGGGAGACTTTCCCTAATTTTTAGCTATGTTCTTTTTATTCTGGACTTTGCCCCCTATTGTGAAATTTACCTGTACTTCCAGGACCATGGTATAAAATGACTTGAACCCAGAATCAAATTTGCTTTCAACCTCTCCCGAAGCACGGGAGCCCCAGCCTGTCTCCCTGTGGGCTCCCCCAGCTGGCCAAGCAGGCCGAGCTGCGCAGTTGGAGTCCCGCATCTGGGACTTTTTGGGTGTCTGGGCTTGGGTCCAGTGCAGCCTTAGTGCTGCAGTTTAGGGGCTACGGAAAAGTCAGATGGGGAAGAAACGGGCTCCTGTGGCTGTGACTGAGGTTAGACGACGGTGGTCCCTGGTACCACGGGCAACACTCTCCCACTGTCTGCCAGGCTAACTGGGGCACTGGAATCAGGAGAGATTCAGTGCTGTGCGCTTGATGCCCAGGCTAAGCTCTGACCCGAGCTCTACTAGCCAGTCACATGATACAATAATTCCACTTGAACTGGCAAGGCACTGTTCTAAGAGTTCAAAGCCTCTTCTGGGTATTATCTCTTTTTATCCTGAGCAAATTCATGAGGGTCAGGGATCATTTTCTCCTGTGACCCAAGGAGAATCCAATCCAGAGAGCTTGTGTTTAGTCAGGGCTGGTGTGCACCTTGGGCATATGAAGGTGCCAACTTATCTCCAAGGTGAGGGAACAGCTGGAGCACTGGGTGGAAAGTATCACATAAGGCAGGAAGGAAGGCTTCAGAATGTCATTCCTTCCTGTAAGATGGGAACAATTTGACATAGGATGTGGTGAAGACGAGGAGGTAATGTATGTAAAACAAATCAAATAGAGGTTTGATCTGTGGTTTTCCTGAATGTGGTGATCAGATCAAATACAAATAGCTGGATCATTTCCCTTTAATGAATAGCTTTTCAAAATCACCTAGAAATCCTGTGGGCATGGCCAGTTGTCATTTGGAGTTTGATGGGTCTTCACTTTTTAGAAGTCCTCAGAGGGCTTCCCTGGTGGAGCAGTGGTTGAGAGTCCGCCTGCCGATGCAGGGGACGCGGGTTCGTGCCCCGGTCCAGGGAGATCCCACATGCCGTGGAGCGGTTGGGCCCGTGAGCCATGGCCGCTGAGCCTGCGTGTCCGGAGCCTGTGCTCTGCAACAGGCCACAGCAGTGAGAGGGCCGCGTACCGCAAAAAAAAAAAAAAAAAAAAAAAAAGTCCTCAGAACACAGCTTCCTAACTTGTCGACTCAGGGTCCTTGCTTGGGACTCCTGTTAATCCATGGGCCATCTTCATTCCCTGGCCCTTTTCCTCATCCTGTTTTGCTTGAATTTCCACTGCACCAGTCTAAACACCATTGCTCTGCAGATTTATACCATGCCTCTCATACTGATTTTGTGTCACCTTGAGGTGTTGTAGCAAAAAATTTACTTTTCAAGTTTAATCTCCCAGATCAAAACTATTGTATATCTTCCTGAACACAGTCTTAGGATAACTCCAGTGCAACAAGGAAAACCAGCACCATCATCCTTTTTCCTAAGAGCTGAGAACTAGACTTTTTTTTTTAATAGCCCAGCTTTCCCCCTGGACATTGTTGACTCTGCCCTATAAAATGAGGGGATTTTAATACCTAGGGTCCCTCCTAATTCTGTCATTTTAGTGCAGTTAACTTGACTGTAAACATTACCAGACACTCAAAATGTGAACAGTTCTTTTTGTTGCAGATTTGCGATCAGACTTCCTCTGGATGCTGGCTTTTGTAGTGTGAAATTTAAAAAAAGTCTAAATGAATTTCAATTTGTACATTTCAAAAGTTGCTTATAGTAAAAATCCTAAAGAGATTAAGAAAAAAAAATTTTTTTTACATAAGACTATGAGAATTCAACTTTACTAACACATTCTTTATAAACAACGCATGTACTTTTTTTTTAAGACAATTTTTTAGAGCAGTTTAAAGTTCATAGCAAAATTGAGAGGAAGGTACAGAGATTACCCATATGCCCCCTCTCCCCCCCCCACAGATGCACAGCCTCCCCCAGGATCAGCATCCCCAGAGTGTGGACATTTGTTACAAATGATGAATCTACGCCGACATGTCATAATCACTTAAAAGTGTTTACATCAGCGTCATTCTGGGTATTGTATGTTCTGAACACACATACTTTTTTTTTGAATTTTATTTTATTTATTTTTTATATAGCAGGTTATTAGTTATCTATTTTATACTTATTAGTTATCTATTATATATATATTTTATTAGTGTATATATGTCAATCCCAATATCCTAATTCATCCCACCACCACCCCCTGCCGCTTTCCCCCCTTGGTGTCCATGTTTGTTCTCTAAATCTGTGTCTCTATTTCTGCCCTGCAAACCGGTTCATCTGTACCATTTTTCTAGGTTCCACATATACGCGTTAATATATGATATTTGTTTTTCTCTTTCTGACTTACTTCACTCTGTATGACAGTCTCTACAAATGACCCAATTTCATTCCTTTGTATGGCTGAGTAATATTCCATTGTATATATGTACCACATCTTCTTTATCCATTCATCTGTTGATGGGCATTTAGGTTGCTTCCACGACCTGCCTATTGTAAATAGTGCTGCAATGAACACTGAGGTGCATGGTGTCTTTTTGAATTATGGTTTTCTCTGGGTATATGCCCAGTAGTGGGGATTGCTGGGTCATATGGTAATTCTATTTTTAGTTTTTTGAGGAACCTCCATACTGTTCTCCATAGTGGCTGTATCAATTTACATTCCCACCAACAGTGCAAGAGGGTTCCCTTTTCTCCACACCGTCTCCAGCATTTGTTGTTTGTAGATTTTCTGATGATGCCCATTCTAACTGATGTGAGGTGATACCTCATTGTAGTTTTGATTTGCATTTCTCTAAAATCAGTGATGCTGAGCAGCTTTTCATGTGCTTCTTGGCCATCTGTAGATCCTCTTTGGAGAAATGTCTATTTAGGTCTTCTGCCCATTTTTGGATTGGGTTGTTTGTTTTTTTAATATTGAGCTGCAAGCTGTTTATATATTTTGGAGATTAATCCTTTGTCCTTTGATTCATTTGCAAATATTTTCTCCCATTCTGAGGGTTGTCTTTTCATCTTGTTTATGGTTTCCTTTGCTTTGCAAAAGCTTTTAAGTTTCATTAGGTCCCATTTTTGTTTTTATTTCCATTACTCTAAGAGGTGGATCAAAAAAGATCTTGCTGTGATTTATGTCAAAGAGTGTTCTTCCTATGTTTTCCTCTAAGAGTTTTATAGTGTCCGGTCTTACATTTAGGTCTCTAATCCATTATGAGTTTATTTTTGTGAACACACATACTTCTTTAATGTTCCAATGCTCAGCTGATATTGCATCCATAGCAATGCTTACAATTCCACTCCACCAACTGGCCCTATGCCTCGGGCAGGGCTTTTCAACCTTCACTGTTGGCATTTAGGAGCTGGATAATTCTTTGTGGTGGGGCTGTTTTGTGCACAGAGGGATATTGAGCAGCATCTCTGTCCTCTACCCACTAGATGCCAATAGTCCCCTCCCAGTTGTGACAATCAAGAATGCCTTCAGACACTGCCAAGTGCCACAAGGGCAAAACCGGCCCAGGTGAGGACCAGTGCTTTAGGGAATTAGTTATCTAGAATACTAGAATTAGTTATCTAGAATGCCTCTGTTTGCTGCTTCCCTGACAACTTTACTTACAGAGCAAGCAGAAGCCCTGGCACAGAGGCAAAGGAAATGTGGGAGATGTCCTGCCTGCTTCATCCTGGAAAGCACAGGTGCTCTCAGTTTTGTCCTAGTCCTTCAGGGCCTTCTGGGGGCACCTGCCCGGTTTCCCTCCTGAAGGAAGCGACTCCGGGCCTGCTTTTCTCTGAGACAGTCTCTCTCAGAGTAACAGTAGGGCTCATTTAGCCAGCGCCAGGAAGAGCTGTTGGCATTCTCTTATCCTTCTTTTAGGAGAATGTACATTATTGTTTTGGCAAGGTTTTCAAGAAAATTCTAAGATGTTAAGTTCATTTATTTACATTTAATGGCATCATTCAGAATTCTCTACTTTTTTAACCAGTACTCTCCTCAACTTCACTGCTTGTGCTAAACCACTGTGAATATTGAGAGGCAACCAACACTACGTATGACCCTCCTCAGTAACCGCTGGAAAATCTATACTTCATGTATGTGTGTGTGTGTGTGTGTGTATGTGTATATATATATATATATATATATACACACACATATATATATATATACACACACACATATGAAAATGGCTTTCTTCTCCCATTTAGCTCAAACTACAAGCCTTTCTTCCCTTTGTATCTTTTAAAATGAAACAATTTCTCGCTTATTAAAACTTGAAGACTGCTAACTTGAAAACATAGCATAAAACTAGTCTTATTTCCAGCACCACAGGAGGGTTAGGACTATTCACTAAGTCTGTAAATGTGAAAGAACTCTCAGCAATTTCATTCGCTTTAAGCTCTGTATGTGAAGAAAAGTAGAAATCTAATTAATTTGAGATAAAAACCACTGGTCCTGATACTGTTCATGACTCTGTGAAGGTTTAGTTTCATGGCTATTCACCCAAATCCTCATGACTGACTTTTCTAATGTAATTCCAGGAAAATGGGCTGTCAGGGACATACCATGTGGCAGCTAATGAGAGAACTTGAAATCTGAAGGCTTACTCCTTAGACACACATCTCATTAGAGAAATGGGATTCAAATGGTTTTAAAATACACCACATCTTACCAAAAGAAAAAGAAAAAAAAACTGATACCAGCTTACAATTCATTAACAAGTACTAGACTCTCAAGTATAGCTAAACAAAAACTATTACCACGAACTGAACTAAGATAATATAAACAGTTCCTAAAGCATAGTTTGCCAAAGTTTGGATGGTTTCTCAAAAAGCATACTATAAAAATCTTAATTTTTGAAGGCTCACTTTTTAAATAGGGAAGAGTCTTTGAAGAGCATTTTAAGGTTAGATATCCCCTTTTGTGATTAAGTTAATTCAGATGCACTGACTCCTGCCAAATTTTTATTGCAGCACGAGCTACGATTTCTGAAGTCACTAAATTTCTCGTTACAGCACAGGAAAAGGAAGATAAAGTAGGAGTGGGATCAGTTTCAAATTCAGTCCTAAGCAGCAACAATGTTTGAGATGCAATCATAAAACCAAATATTTCACCCAGGACATGGAAAAAGCACTAGATCACCAGAAAGCAAAGAGTAAAAAGCTGCAAGCAAAAGCAATAAGAAGATACCAAACTTGGAACAAGGTCTTATTGACACATAATATGCTAATCAGCTCACTCCTTTAGGCAAAAAAAAAAAAAAAAAAAGTTTTTGTTCACATAGGTAACATACATATTTTTGAGAATAACAAAGTCACCATGGAGATATATTTTTTTAAACAATTTTTTATTTTCTGAAATATTTGACTATTTCACTGATAAACTAAAAAAGAATATTATTTAATTTTGTTGTTTCTTTTTTGTAGCCTTTATGACCTGTAATACTAACTTGCTTGATGGTAAAGAACCAAAAGTTAATGGAAGGGCCTTGACCACAAGTTTCTCCTATGACAACCTTCACTATTCCTGATTTTGTGGATTTAGAACAAAGTTACAAATGTGTTTATTTTGTTAGTTATTAGTAAGGCAATATATAAATTTAGATTTTTTCTGAAGTTGAAAGAACTGAATGAATACTAGCCCTCTTTCAGTTTCAGTATTATAGACAATGCTCTTATTCATTCACGTACTTTGACACTTGCTCCTTTCAAACATGCATACTTTCAAATTACAGTGCCCAAATGTGTTAATTTGAGGACACCAACAACCTGAGAGGCCTTTCCATTTGCTCTTTAGCCTGCTTCTCTCGATATGTAAACTAGTGTATCAGTGTGTCTGTTAATAAATACATTTCACACAACTGAGAGAACCCTTTGGATTTAAGCATTGCAAAACAATGGTGTTTAGTCGACTATCTTCTTGACTATAAGAACATTAGACTAGCTGACATCTTGCTGAAAAAACTAGATTAAATTCATGCCATTTAAGCCAACAGACTGACGTGTCCTCTCCTAGTGTCGAATCTAATCTGTGGCACTTTAACACACTTCAGGTGAGAACACACACATATATTGAGATATAAGGAAAATAAAACTGCATAATACTTGAGACTTCAAAGGCTTCATTCCTAAATGCCCCAAAGTTACATGTTCCTCCTACTCTTTATTAAAGAGCCTTCCGAAAACAAGTCTGAGAAGCATTTCTTTAAGTATACACGATAGAAAGTACTCTTCAGAGTCAATATTAATTAGATAATAAGTTTGGACTGGGAATAAGATAAGCACTCTAAAATTCAGACTATAAAGGATTACATGAAAATATCATCCTGTCATTAAACAACTCAACTTCACAACTACCCTGACACTGATACATTTTCTTCCAATCAAAAGTAGCTGCAAACTGGGACTTCCCTGGTGGCGCAGTGGTTAAGAATCCGCCTGCCAATGCAGGGGACACGGGTTCGAGCCCTGATCTGGGAAGATCCCACGTGCCGTGGAGCAGCTAAGCCCGTGCGCCACAACTATTGAGCCTGCGCTCTAGAGCCCGCAAACCACAAATACTGAAGCCCACGTGCCCAGAGCCCGTGCTCCGCAACAAGAGAAGCCACCGCAATCAGAAGCCCCCGCTCTCCGCAACTAGAGAAAGTCGGCTAGCAACAACGAAGACCCAACGCAGCCAAAAAAAAAAAAAAAAAGTAGCTGCAAACCTTACTCTGCATCTTTCAGCTAAGTCTATAAAATTTTTCTACTTTTATTTCCCTTTATCTAAAGGGAATCAAACACACTGATTGGGCTTTCCTGCAATTAGTGACTGAGTATGAGCAAAGAACTAGTCATAGTCCTACCCTCTTATTTTTGCTCTTAAGCCAGAACCATATTACTTACAAAGATAAAAGACACCCCATCATGAAATGGTGACATTTGGATGAAAAATGAATCAGAGTAATTTCCTTTGAAATTATTTTTTCAAATTTCCTTTGAAAAAATTTTCCCAAAACTTAAATCATAGGGCAGTTTTTATCAAAATAAAAACTTTACATCAAAACAGCAGCTTTGGGAATTCCCTGGCAGTCCAGTGGTTAGGACTCTGTGCTCTCACTGCTGAGGGCCCAGGTTCAATCCCTGGTCAGGGAAGTAAGATCCCACAAGCTGCATGGCGCGGCCCAAAAAAACCAGAAGTTTTGGTAATGGAATGTCTTTTCATTTTCTACTAGGAAAATTGTTAGCATATTTTCATGAACAAAGGTAAGACAGTAATGGAAATAACTAGGCACAGTCATTTCATCGTGTGACTTTCAGACGATGATGAGTTTGTGAAAACTTAAGGCAACGAAGTCACATTATGAGTATGCTGAAGAATTCACACAAAAGGTAGAATTCTCACTTCTCTTTAATCACTGAGTTTCAGATTTTACAAATAATCTTAGAACAATTCAGGTAACTAAGGTTTTGGGGGGAAACAGTTCTTACTTGTACATGAAGAACTATTACATGCTCCACTTTTCTGCAAATAACTCTATTGGCTGGATTAACAAACACTGTCACAGAAACACAGAATTTTTTTAAAGCCATAGATCGCTGCATATATATTTACAAAGAGCCATAAACAAACATGCATTTCTCCTTATTAGGAGAACTTAAATAGATGTTTGCACATTAAGGCAGTGATGATTCTAAAACATAATGAAATTCTAAGTTAAGGCTTTATGTTTGTTTTGAAACCCATATTCATAGGCAACTGTGACCAAAGCAAACTTTTATCTATCAGACTGAGTTCATCTACTCAGGATATGTTATTTATCCACTACCAATAATTCTTCTACAGGATAGGAATTAGTAGCAACACCACTGAGTTACTTTAATGAATTCTTAGTCCCCTCCTTAGGTTTTATTTTGAGGATTTAGCCTTCAGCAGCATAAGCATGTGCCACAGAAAGAACAGAGCATTTTTCTGGGTAAACTCAGAAAAATTTACAGACTGCACTGATTTTTACTTGCCCGAAAGTTGGCCAACAATCAAGAACTCAGAATCTCCTAAATACAGAAAACTCCAAAAGCATACTTAACCACACACCCATCTCAAAACACAGATGTTCTTGATTATTGAAGCACTTGGTCTTCACCTCATTTTCTTTGAAGACTGTTTGGTATTACCCTCTCTAAACAAACAAAGCAACAAAATGCAGAACACTATACTTTAGATGGATCTGTTCTATAATTGCTATTCTCAAGGCACAAATACTATCCTTGCTAGACCAATGTGTTTCCTCATTTAAGGAAAAAATGAGAGGTGGATGAAAACAAGATTCACTTTAGAATAGCTGCTGATTGCACTCTTGCCCTATCAAGCTTATGCAAACTGTTGAAATTTAGGGGGGAATGTCCTTTTCTCCTTATGTTATTTTTCTTTAAACATTTAGAGAGAAAAACTGAGACTCAGCTGGTGGGTGAGCTTTGAGGAGCAGCTCTGGAGCACCGTCCTGGCCTTCTGTAGAGAGTAGGAGAGATGCTCGTAGGACACACTCCAGTCTGGGCTAACAGGCATGATTTCACAGCCCAGCGTTTCCATAGTTGGGGTGACTTACTGTCACTTAGACTGAAAGGATCACTATTTACACTAAGTGCTTGCCGCTACTTCTTTAAGCAATAATTTTACAGCAACACGTCTTGTGAGGAAAGTACTATACACTTAACGTTGGTATCAGTAAGAGTTCACGTAGAGGAGGGATGGCATTGACTATATGAAAATTGTCTCAAAAGCTAAAGACAAGTGTAGTTTCCTTTGTGTCTTCAAATCAGGGGAGAGTAAGATGTCAAAGCAGATGAAGCTGTTGGTGTTTAAATCTGATGGTACAGCGTCAGACTTCTTTAGACATTATTGGGACACAGGAATTTCTAACAAGCACTGGCAAAAGTACTTTAGGTGCAATTTAAGTAAGTCATACTTTGACTAAAGTGTTTTGAAGGTTTGAAAAGTTTGTACCCTAGTCCTGCTGAGCTTGGCTTCAGGTGAATGGCTAGATGGGTTTTAAAGATGTGAAATACATTTTTTTTTTTTTAAGAAGGGAAGACTACACTGAAAGGGCAAATGTAGGCAACACAAAAACAATTCTTGTTAGATCAACATCTTATACTTTATAATACACTCACACATTTTTACACAAATTTCATGTTTACAGTACAAAGGGCAAAGAACCTCAGATAATCGAAGTAACTGTATCAAGTACATTCAATAGAGTTAACACTGTTGTCCCCGTTCTCCACCTTCTAAATCCAGAAGGGAACCAACTGTAAATGCCATCCCCCATGTGGATTCCACTTTCAGAAGTTGGAGACTGGGTGTAGTTCTGCACATGTCTGGGTTTCAACAGAGCTGAATTGAGATTCCATCGTGTTCCAGGCCAAATCGGCCAGAAGAAAGTCATCCATTGCTGTTTGAGTTTCATTGCTGGTGAAGAATAAGCTCCCCAAAGTTTCAAAGCCAGAATTCATGGTCTGTGTTTCTGCACTGTTCAACTGAACTTTGCTTTCTAGAGCAGGTAGGTTTTTAGCAGTGGAGATTCCTTCAGTTTGGGTCTCTGTGTCAGATGAATCAGTACTCATGGAAAAGCTGGAGTGTTTCAGAATACTTCCCAGAGGCAGATGAGGGCTACTGTCTAAAAAGAAGTTCAAGTCCGTCTGTGTCTGCGTGTCAAACATTTCAAGGGCTAAGAAGTTAGAATTTCCCCTACAACTGTAGGACTGGGCACGGGCATCTGCAAGTAAGAAGTCAGTTTGGGTCTCTATGTCCAGAGATTCCAAGACTGGCTCCGTGGTCATGGTGCTAAGCTCACTCTCTTCGGTTTGAGTCTGGATATTTGAGGCCGAAAAGAACTCTTCAATATCAAAATCAATTGCAGGATTCTGGGTTGGGCCAGATGGGAGCTGGGTGTCAGGTCCAGTATTTGTGTCAGACAAAAGACTACGATTGTCCAGTGTCTGACCAGGCAGATTACTTGACAAGATGTTTTCTATATCACTTAATAAATCTATGGTTTGGGTCTGATTATCTGTCATATTCTGTGAAGAAAGTATACTATTATTCTGTGCACTGAAGTTTATAATTGGTGCAGATTTCTCAATATCTTGATTTAAAGTTTTAGGGTGGTTCTGAGGTAACAAACCATGAGTCACAGTCTCTGCTACTAAGCTGCTGCTTATAATACTGTCTGTAGAAACACCATATGACGAATGGACACTCTCAAAAATGTCTCCACACATTACAGCTTGGTCCATCTGTACTCGATCATCGGTTGGACTTTGCATTCCACTGGTCTGAGTTTCTCTGGAGATCCCACCTGACTGGAAACTGGCATCTATAAACACATCAGTCTGAGCCGCTATAGATGAGGTTACCTTAGAACTGGGCAAAAAAGTTTGAGTATGAACACTGATGGGAAGGGAAACTTGAGAACCAAATGTTAAATCAGTTTGAGAACAAGATGACACAGAGGAATCAGGGCTAGCCCACTCTACAGACGGTATAAAGTGTGGTGTGGTATAAGACAGTTCTGTCTGTACATTGATTGAAGAAATGCTGTTCTTCTGACATGTGTTCCCTAGTTCTTGTAAAGGGTTAGATGGACTTTTACCCAAGTTCACTTGAACACCTGTGCTAACTGGCTCAACAGCAACAGGATTTACAATTTTTGAAAGAGGGAGGCTCTCCTTGAGAGAGCAAGCCTCCGAATCTAGGCCGAGGATCAGGGTTCCGACGGACAAGGGCAGTAAGTGCACAGCACCGTGGGTACAGCCCTGATGATCGACACCCAACACCACAGGCTGGGCTGAGGAGTCGGCTGTAGGCACAAAGACAGGCACAGGAGAAAGCTGCATAACGGGGAGTTTAACCAAAGCCACTTTGGGTTTTGGTAAAAGCAACTTCTGAGGATACCTTGGAGGTGTTGGAAGAGCCTGCTTTCTGGCATTAGAGCTGCAAGAATCTTCAAACGAAGCCACTAGCTTTATTTCTGAAGTTTCTAGTTCTTGAGCATCTGGTCTTGGGGTTGATTGGTTGCTCAGTGATTCAACAGTCTTACTGGACAACTTCTGGTTGTGCAGGCAGTTTTCCATTTTCCTTTTCTTACTAGGTGGATCCCTGAAAACAATGACAGAGTAAAAAGAGGAAAACAATTTTAAACTGCAGTTTTCTTCATCAACCCTGGCACTGTATCTTCACTTACAAATTCTATTTCCCACATCTACAGCAGAGGTCAGATTTAACCCAGCGAAGAGAAATCCCTTCTTTTGTAACTCGGCCTATTATCAATATATGGTAGGTAGAAGTTCAGAAACATGCAAACAGGGAAGCACACCTTTTTTTGAGTAAAGTGCTAAGTACCAGAACTCAACTTAGATCCGTAAGCATCAGGAAGCTAACAGATTATATAACGCAACTATTATCATTTCTAAAGTAGGAAGCTCTTAGTCCAATTATAAATATGACCTTTCAAATGAAGCACAGTTTCATGATAAAAAATTCTTCAATAATCTAGCATCCCTCTAACAGAAAACGCTGGAAGTTTTTGAAGAATTGAAAACCCAATAGATTTTCAGTTGGGAATAATTAAGCGATTCTCAAAAGAAGCTGGTGAAAGAATAAGGAAGAACAGTTGGATCAAGTAGATGTGGATCATTTGCTAGTACTGCTGCCATTTCCAAAAGTTCCCTTCTTCATGTCACATCTTTTCTCCGCCATTCCTCCTTTCTCCCCACACTAATGGCTCTACAGGAAGTTTCATTTGGAAATCTTCCCACAGCTATTGGCTTTTGGGCCACCATTTTTTCCCCTTTACCTGTGTTCTGCAGGGATCTCATGGCCAGTTCGGTAGATGTGGGACTGTAACGCAGTCCTGCTGGCATAGGGACAGCCACATGTGCACTGGAAGGTCTTACCACAATCCTCTGCATGTCTTTTCAAGTCCCACTCAGTGCCATACGAATTGCTGCACTTACTACATTTATGCTTCTTTTCAGCATGCATTTTCATAAAGTGCTAGGAAGAACACAAAAGGACTAAAATGAAAAACTGCAACTGCTCAAAACATTTCAAAAACCATCAACATACCCAAATTAATAATGATTTTACATGATACAATATAGCAGTGCAAATCAAAAGAATGTAAAAGCAGGCAACTCTTCCAGTCCAGAATCATCTCTTTCCCCACTGGCTGGGTCCCTCCCTCCTCTTTAAGATAGCTGCTTCTGAAATTATTCTTTTCCCTGCAGTTTCTTAATCCCTTGGGAGAACATTTCCTTTGTGCTTTTGCTCCTCTGACCTTGAAAGCATGCAGATTCACACAAGAGATCTGGAAGTACAGTTTATCATACTTTGCTGACTTGGTCTTCTTTTCTTTCCAAATCCACTTCTGGACAACTTCCCCTCCAGAACAAGCCATGTCTCCTTCACTTACACCCTACTCATTTTTTCCCCAAGTAGGAGACTTGGGTGGCTGTCCTTAGAAGCAGCTTTCTGCTCAATTCTCTAGTTATGATTGGTAAGTAATTAGAATACATGAGGTTTATGACATCTGCATTTCCTCCTCAGAGAAGTATACTTAAAGACAAGTTAAATACCTGTTTTACGAGAGAAAATTGAGAAAATGGTCTGTCAGGGCCTCTAGGGCATCCTTCAATTGGACAACAGTAGAATTTTGGTACAGTTTTCAAATCTTTTCTTATTGTTGGATTCACTATGCCATCCTGCAAAAGAAAAATTACTTTAAATAATTATCTTAAAAAAACTAACAGATGGGCTTCCCTGGTGGCGCAGTGGTTGAGAGTCCGCCTGCCGATGCAGGGGACACGGGTTCATGCCCCGGTCCGGGAAGATCCCACATGCCGTGGAGTGGCTGGGCCCGTGAGCTATGGACGCTGAGCCTGCGTGTCCGGAGCCTGTGCTCCGCAACAGGAGAGGCCACAACAGTGAGAGGCCCGCGTACCGCAAAAAACAAAAAACAACAACAAAAAAACCCCAACAGAACGAGCTGGGAGTGATAACAAGGAATAAGTAAAGATGTGCACAAGGGATCTTTTTAGGGTGATGAAAATGTTCTAAAATTTGGGATTGTAGTGATGGTTGCACAACTGTAAATCTACTAAAAAGTAACTGAATTATTAACTTAAAATGCGTAAATTATATCATGTGTAAACTATAGCTCAATGAATCTGTTAAAATTTTTCAAAACAAAATAAACAAAAACCAACTATATTGTTTAAAAATCTTCTATCCATTCCTTTAGCACTCCTTCTAGACTTAAAAATCTCTGCCCTTCAAGCCAGCTTCTCTAATCGTTAAGTGGTATATTTATAGTTTCTCAGGCTCAAGACCTGGTATCATCCTTAAGTCTTCCTTTCTTTTTTATCCCAACCCCACTGAATTAGTGTGAGTCTCTGAAAAAAACCTGACTATGATCTAGTCTTCCTGATAAAGAGAACTGTGACTTTCTCTGATCACCACAATGCCCCCTAAAGTAGCTAAAGCTAGTTAACACAACTTTTATACAGTAGCGTGAATATGGGCACCATGCTCTGTTTGAAATTCAGTAATCATTATAATGGCCAGTGCTAACATAGCTTTTACTACCGTGGCAGGCACTGTTCGAAGCACTTTATATATATTAACTCATCCTAGTAATCCTTTCTTATTAAGTATGTGATTGACTTTTTGGCTGGGAATTTTAAAATAATTGGTGAGTTAATTTAGCTTAAACTGCTGTCTTGTTGCCCTTGATGAGCCCACATACCTCAGGAGTGAGAAATCTATGACCTCCAGTATAATTCTTATCTGGCAACCCCCAGCTGGCCCGAGAGGAAGGTGTGTGGATGGGGGTTTGGGGTGGGGAAGGACCTCCCCACTACGGATGGAAACAACTGGACACGTGCTCAGGCCTCAGCTACCGCTGTAGCACCTAGACGTTTTAGTCCTTAGGTGCTGTGATGGGAAAGGATTCACTACTTTTGGAACACGCCCACCTCCTCTGCTTCCATCAGTGTGCATCTAGAGAAGAAACAAATAACCGTGCGGCTAGGACTCCCTCTGTTTGCTTTCCTACTGGATCTCAAGAGGAACATGCTGATCTTGCTGAGTCTGTGTCCACTCATGTAGAGGGGAAAAGAAGCTATTCTTGTTTCATTTTTCAACAACGTAATTTATCTCTCAATGATATCAAATGTAGTCAGTTATTCCTCCATGTCTTCTACCTTGGTCCATCTTTTTATAATCCTATTGCACTACACTGTCTAGATATTCATATTCATTTGGATTATTTAAATCGTTTCCTAAATAATTTTCCTTCCTCTTCTAATGTCAGAACAAATTTGACATTCCAAAAAATTATTTGTATATATCACCAAATACTATTTTTTTAAAAAAGGCATATAAAATAAAATCCCGGGACTTCCCTAGTGGTGCAGTGGTTAGGAGTCTACCTGCCAAGGCAGGGGACGCGGGTTCGAGCCCTGGTCTGGGAGGATCCCACGTGCCGTGGAGCAACTAAGCCTGTGTGCCACAGCTCCTGAGTCTGTGCTCTGGAGCCCGCGAGCCACAACTACTGAGCCTGCATGCCACAACTACTGAAGCCTGCGTGCCTAAAGCCTGTGCTCCACAACGAGAGAAGCCACCGCAATGAGAAGCCCGTGCACCACAATGTAGGGTGGCCCCTGCTCGCTGCAGCTAGAGAAAGCCTGCGCGCAGCAACAAAAGACCCAACGCAGCCAAAAAGAAAGAAAGAAAGACAATTTATAAATAAATAAATAAATAAATAAAATAAAATCCCATCTCCTCATTATGCCTCCAATCTACCATTATGACCATATCTTTTTCTGTTCCCTTTTCATACACTCCCCTGCTCAGCCTAAACACTCTTCCCACTTCCATTTCCACCTTCTATAGCCACTCTCGGATGACTGTCTCCGTTCAGGCAGAATGCAACGGTGGGAAGAGGGCACGGCATGGACAGGCCTGTGAGCCATTTCCACCACTGATTAGGCACATGACTTTAGACAGGTTATTTAATCTCTGAGCCAGTTTACTCATTTCAAAAACAGAGAGAATAGTTAACTCTCAGGATTATCTAGTACTGGACTGCCATGGAGCCCGCTCACATTCTCAATAAATAGCACTTTCTTGTTCTGCTCACCACCCAGCTCTATTCCTTGTCTGAATTCCAAGGTAGCAGCTAACTTAACTTGTAAACTATCGTTTCCTTCTACAATTCCTGCCTCCTTAACTAAATTTTTTAAGGGCAGAAACTAATTTATACACCTCTTGGTACTGTTTTCATGCTTTAGACTGCACACTAAAGGCGGAGCACTTTTAGAAAGGCAGTCCAGTGTAGGGCAGCAGCTCTCAAATCTAGCGGCCTGTGGAAAATCACTTGAGGCATTAAAAAAAAAATACCGGTGCCTGGTCCCAGTCCCAGGTAATGATATAATTAGTTTGGGGTGGGTTTGGTATTTGGTTTGGTATTTGGTTTAAAAATCTCCCCTGATGATCCCAGTGTGTAGCCTAGCTTAAGAACCATGGTGCAGTGGTTAAACCCATGGGTTCTGGAATATGGAATTCTCTACATTGCTCCTTTCCTGTGACCTTGAAAAACTTAACTGTCTTGGTTTCCTTATTTGTGAAGTAGGCATGATAGTACGATCTACCTCAGGGTTGTTGTGAGGATTTAGTGAATAATTTAAGAGACTTAGAACAGTGCTTATCATATAATCACTCAATTAATTATTACAGCTATTAGTTATCGGCTGTGGAGATTTTTGTTGCTTCTTTTGCTTTCTGCCAACCAACTTAAGGCCAATAAGCTAATCTAAACTAGTACTTTACATTAAATACTGTCCTTGTGGCAACAGAAATAAAAGCAAAAATAAACAAATGGGACCTAATCAACCTTACAAGCTTTTGCACAGCAAAGGAAACCATAAACAAAACAAAAAGACAACCTATGGAATGGGAGAAAATATTTGCAAATGATGCAACTGACAAGGGCTTAATCTCCAAAACATACAAACAGCTCATTCAACTCAACAACAACAAAAACAATCCAATCGAAAAATGGGCAGAAGAACTAAACAGACATTTCTCCAAAGAAGACAGATGGCCAACAGGCACATGAAAATATGCTCAACATTGCTAATTATTACAGAAATACAAATCAAAACTACAATGAGGTACCACCTCACACCAGTCAGCACGGCCATCACCAAAGTCTACAAATAACAAATGCTGGAGGGGGTGTGGAGAAAAGGGAACCCTCCTACACTGTTGGTGGGAATGTAAGTTGGTGCGGCCACAGTGGAAAACAGTATGGAGGTTCCTAAAAAAGCTAAAAATAGAGTTGCCATATGATCCAGCAATCCCACTCATGGGCATATATCCAGACAAAACTATAATTCCAAAAGATACACGCACCCCTGTGTTCACAGCAGCACTGTTCACAATAGCCAAGACATGGAAACAATCTAAATGTCCACTGACAGATGAATGCATAAAGATGTGGGGGGTGTGTGCGTGTACACACACACACAGTGGACTACTACTCAGCCATAAAAAAGAACAAAATAAGGCCATTTGCAGCAACATGGATGCAACTACAGGTTATCATACTAAGTGAAGTGAGAAAGAGAAAGACAAATACCATATGATATCACTTACATGTAGAATCTAAAATATGACACAAATGAATTTATCTATGAAATAGACATGGACTCACAGACATAGAGAACAGACTTGTGGTTGCCAAGGGGAGGGTGGGTAGGGGAGGGACGAATTAGGAGTTTGGGGTTAGCAGATGCAAACTATTATATAGAGAATGGAGTGACAACAATGTCCTACTGTATAGCACAGGGAACTATATTTAATATCCTGTGATAAACCATAATGGAAAATAATATATATATAAAAAGTATATATAACTGAATCACTCTGCTGTACAGCAGAAATTAACACAACATTGTAAATCAACTATACTTCAATTAAAAAAAGAAAGAAAAATCCATGGATTCATCTCAAAAAAAAAAAAAATACTGTCCTTGTGAAAGTCTGATTGAAATGCCGCTTTTATTGAAACACTGGCCTCTGCTAGCTTTAATGACAACCAACACTGTCTCTCAATCACCAAACTCATCCCATTTACCAGTTCATCTTTTTTTAAATGAAATACTTTTAAACTCATATTATTTTCCTTCTAATGTTATCTGCAAGAAAAAATCAAATACGGAGAGAATATTAAGAAAACTTTAAAATTCTTTTTTTTTTTTAAGGCTAGGACAATTAAAAAAATTTTTTTATTTATTTTGGCTGCACCGGGTCTTAGTCGCGGCATGCATGTGGGATCGAACCCCGGGCCCCCTGCATTGGGAGCATGGAGTCTTACCCACTGGACCACCAGGGAAGTCCCCATGCTTACTTCTAATACATCTTCAATTTGCTTAGCAATCCTTTTATTATCCCTTTTCAAACTCCCTATCATGTTCTCAATGTACCTGTTCACTTCACTTTTTAAAATATTAATAAACTTTATTTTTTAAGAGAAATTTTATTAGATTCACAGCAAAATTGAGCGCAAAGTACAGAGAGTTCCCATACACTGTAGCGCCCCCGCCCCCCCAACCCCAATACAGCCTGTTCCACTATTAACATTCCTCACCAGAGTGGTACATTTGTTACAATTGATGAAACTACACTGACACGTCATTAT